TAGAACATGTTCATTAGAAAACAAAACATAACAATGATGCAATGATAAAAGCCTTAGCACGCTTTCAAGGTCGGGTTGGTGCAATCATTCAAGGGACATTTCTTGCTTTCTGGTGTTCATTGTTTTCTGGAGGGTGGGTGAAAAGGTAAAATATAAATAGCAAGGGAAGCAACTATCTATGCACTAGCACATCGGCCAATGCAATAGGAGGTAAAAGCAGTTAAATCAGAAAGCTGCCAACAGAACACTGGGCATTTTACAGATGGTATAGAACATTAATTTTCACCAATTTTCAGCTCGCGTGTTAAAATTAGTCACTAGAATAAATTTTCATCTTTCATAAATAGGTGGTGCAGGAGAAACTTTGAAGTTCAGACTTTCTCCAACTTATCTCCAGAAACAATGAGAATAACTTTGAACATACAACAAAATTTTAACAACACATTAGTCGACTTAAGTAGGACGGAAAAGGAAGTAATCAGCCTGAAGAATGGAAAATTTACTTACAGAGATGAATGGATCATTCTTGCACATTCCGTAGGCAAAGAAAGAAAGGCTCATGAGAAAAGTCGCAAGGGATAGATAAAATGGCATGTACTCCACGCTCTTTGTTTTGATCACCAAATTCTGCCCCAAAAAATTGTTTCTTAAACCAATTAGTCTGAGAAATGGAGTGTTTATCAACTTAGGTGATAGTACTTTGTTTGTGAAAACTTACAATGATGAATAGTGGAGAAGCAAACATGCAAATGAGTGAAAAGACGGATAAATATCCAACGAAAGTTTGCCGACTAGAAGGCTCAAATAGAGTAAGGCTGATGGCAACTACAGCAGCAAATACCGCAAAAACGCCAAGCACCAACCCCAACATTTTCAACTGCATTGAACGTGTATAACGGTATAAGAACAAGATCAGTTTACAGCAGAAACTTTAGCAATATTTTGTTTGTAAGAACCAACAATTACCTTCTTGGACCCCTCTGCATGAATAATGAAGATGGTAATATATACTAGCTGGAACACTGCTCCAATTGAATTGACAGTGAAAACCAATATAATACCAGGAGACACAATTGGTGTCCCATACCAGAGGCATATTAAGCAATTCAAGAGCGTATATATATAAGGTAATCCAGAAAACTGTTCTGTAGACTTGCTTCTAATGATTCTTCTAAATGTTGGTCTGAAAAAGGAGGGGATACAATCAACTTATATGAATCGCTTACTATTCATTGTCACTGTTCAGAGATTTCAGATACTTACATTGGTGACACAAATAAGACGAATGCAAAGAGATTCCCTGCATTACACATAAACCAAATATTTGGTTAGCAAGTGTAAGAAACTTCCCAAGTTGGCTGATTCTTTAGGAATATTATAGTGTTATTGCTTGTTAGATTGGATAAAAACCTTCATTCATGGATGGATTTAGTCTGTTGGATAAAAGGAAAGGGACGAGAAGGACAAGAGAGGAAATGATTAGTACGAACATAAAAGGAGAAGTATAATACTACACACACCACCCTGCTTAGACAGTAATAAAAAATAGATGTGTATATTTTCTCCTTTCTTTCTGTTCCGTTACAAGATCACTAATTATCTTCTTCCTTACCTTAAATACCAAATTTCTTCTAACCGATCAAACCATGAGGATGACTTCAAAAGGTAAAAATTAGAAGATAAACATTTTGGTAGCTTCGTTATGCCAATATTTGGGAACTTTTGAAGTCAAACACTATAAAACTAAAGCCTTAGTTAAGGATAATGAGTCTGACTAGTATTACAAACTAATTGGATCCTCATTAATATGATGCTAGTCCAATTTAACTATTTGCCCTAAATACTATCCTTCACTAACATAACAAAAATGGACTTAATGATATCTTTGAATCTAATGATTGAAGTGGAAACCCCCCAATCCTAGCTCATCAAATTGACAAGCATTAGCCAACACTGAACATGTCTATCAAGGTCAAACAACAATTAAGATTTTTCCTAGCATTTCTCCATCTTTAGAGTACATATCAAGGGGTCAAGAGCTACTACAGTATCTAGAAAAATTGATGGCAAATTTTACCAAAAAAGAAAGAAAGAAGCTACTTCAGTATCCAGAAAAATTGATGGCAAATTTTACCCAAAAAATAAAGAAAGGAACATCACAGCAAAGCTTTCAATGCAACTTTATACAACCAAAATAGAAGTAAAAAATGAAAAGTAACCAACTTTCTAAACAAACAATCCCCATTAAGCACAACAGACAAATGGGGTTTTAACATAGACCAAAAAGATGGAACCTTTACAAATAAATAATGCAAAGCAGACAATTATCAACTAAAAAAAAATGAAAAAGAAGAAGAAGAAAGTTCAAGATTCTGCAGAACTTATTCTAATGAGATCCAATAGTTACTTTACATATCAACCACAAAACTTTCTTCTCTTTCAAAAAATTAACAATAAAAAATTGAGTAGAACACCATAGCATCAAATTACAAACAAAAACAAAAACAAAAACAAGAAAATCATTGAATTGGGGGTGTGGATAAGAAGTAGTACCTGCAATCCCAGCTGCAAAACTGCAAATTGAGTAAATTGAGTATAGTCCACCTACAACTGACATTCTTTCTTTGTTCAAATAAACCTCAAAATTTTTTAAAACATATAACAGAAGAAAATCTCAGTTCTTATTGAAGCTGAGAGGAAAGAGGTTGTGTGCTAGTGGTTGCAGAAAACATAATTATTGAGGTGGAAAATTTAATGGATGCAAAGACAAATTCATAGTATAAAATTATAATTACATCAACAATTATTTCTTTCCTATTGATAGGGCCAGCTGGAGAAACCTTTTCCAATCTGTGACAGCGCTTATAAATTGATTAATTTGTAATAAGCATATGCCTAAATTGATTACCGGTCAATCATATTCTGCTGCATCTTATCTAAATAAATCAGATAAACAAATCGAAACAATAACAAATTTTTTCCTCTTAAAAAAAAACTACTTTTAACTAATCAAAGACGGCGATAATTTAGAATTGACCAGTCCAGGTTTGAAGTTAAAAAAGTTAATCTTTGAAATATGTATAAATAATATATAGATATATATTCTACCTAAAAAATAATTTTAATAAATAATAGTAGATTTTATTATATTTAAGCTTTCTGTATAATTTAATAAAAAAGTTAATTATTATCCAAAAAGCTAAATCAATTAAATTTTTTATTTTATTTTATAGAAGAACTAAAAAAAATTTACAATATGAAAAATTGAACTCTCATCAATAAGATGAAAATTTAAAAAGTCAACTAATTAAACTACTAAAATTTCACGTTAAATTAATATATTTTGTTTCAATTTAAATTATTGATTTTGATTTAATTGTGAATAGCCCTAATTTAACTTGGCTTCTCCGGCTCGTTGAGGCTAAACATATTGATCATTAATTAAGAAACAATAAAATAAATAAATTGTTTCACAAGTTCCATTTTTAAATAACAATTCAACTTTTGGCATATTAATTACTCATTTCGTTTTAATTGATTATTTTTTGTTTTGATTTTTTAATAAAAATTTTGAATCTTTTGATCTAGACTAAAGATACATAGAACGAATCAAATATTATATAATTTTGTGATTTTAAATGACCACACAAAAAATAAAATTAAAAAATATTTTATATTAAAATGGACTAAAAAGAATATAAATTGAAATGGAGGAGTGCATATGATTTTTTTATTCACGTTATTAGGAAATATGATAATGGAACAGATCTTGATAAGTCTTATTCTTTATAATAAATTTAGAGGTGTTAAATCAAATTAATATTAAATCTGTGGGTATGCACCTATTATAGCAATTCACTAATACTGATAATATTTAGTGAATATTATATTAATTAAATAGTAATTAGGTGGGCCTGTCTCTGTCTACCACTTCAAATTTGCCACATGAATCATGAAGCCTGAAAAAAGAAAAAAGGACATGGATGGGTCCTGTTTTACTACACTACAAATATTCAGACATCACTAATCTCTATCACTTTTTCTAAATAATATTAATAATATGAAATATGTGCTTTATTAACATTCCAACTACTACAAATCTTATTTGTGGTTACAGGCTCTTCAATAAATGATATTGTCTATTGAGTTTTTAAATAATGTAGAGTTCTATTTAAAAGGATTTTATACGTATTTATTAATATTTTTAAAAAGTCTAAATAATTTAAATGATTACTGTACATCTTAACTAGTGTAACAAGATTACGAATTGAAAATGATAGCACCACCATGAATGCTTGGAGACAAAATGTAGGAGCCAAGATCATTCTTTCTGATTGTTCCTTTGTTAATTCTTGATTCGATAGAATTGCCCATTCAATATCTTTTTTATTTTTCAAAATCTTATGATATTTGGAATTTTATGAAATAGGAAAAATTGAGACAAAATGAATTTTTGCTTGCATTAAATTATTTGACATGCTACTTTTTTCATTCTTTTGCTAGGATGATCAATTCATTCAAATAAACATGATTTCATCAAAGATCAAAGCAAATAATAATTTTTTTTCTTCAAAATTCTGAAATAAAAAAAAATAAAAATAGGTGAAGGGAGGAGGAGGGAAATCAGATACTTGGTCTACCTATCTAGATAGATCCCGTAAAAAGAATAAAAGTCGTATTAAAAATCTGAAATAAATTATGTAGTGACAAATTACATAATTTACCACTGATTCTTAAGCTAATTTTGTGATACATATTTCAAACACGAGTAATTTACCCTTTTATGGAAAAAAAATTGTAGTTAGAAATTTGGACAAAATGAGATTTTTTTATGTTATTTTACCTTTTTAAATATTTTTATTCTTTTAATTAAAAAATGAAAAAAGATCATTTATTTATAATAAAAAAATATCATATTTTTTTAATTTTTCACATCCCAACCTTTATTAAAGTGTATTTAAACACATTATTTTTTGGTTCAGCACTTCTTGTAGAAAGTTATTTTTTTCCAAAAAAAAAAAAAGAGAAGAAAAGAAAAAGAGCACAAATTTCACCTCTCAAAAAGCACTTCCCGCCATTTCTCTTAGCTCCTCCGAAATGGGGTAAACAAAACTGAGAAATTAGGGCTAAACAGCAATCTTAGCTGAAACCCATTTCTCAAAATTACTGAAATTCTCGAAAACCCAATTGAATTCACTAGAGAATATGGGTATACAAGGCCTTTTGCCCCTTTTGAAATCGATAATGTTACCAATAAACATCAAAGACTTGAATGGCTGCAGTGTTGCTGTTGATACATATTCATGGCTGCATAAAGGTGCCCTTTCTTGCAGCAAAGAGCTCTGTAAAGGCATTCCTACTACTAAGTATTCATCTTTCTTTCTCACGTTTTTCACTGATTTCTGCAAGTTCTTTTTTTTTTTTACTTTCTTGTGTGTTATTAGCGCAAGATATTTAATTGGGGTAAAGAAAATCTGAATAACTATTTCTTGTTGTGTAAAACAATATTGTTTTCATCTTATATGATTTCATCATTTGATGGTTCAAAGATTCTTTTTTAAATGTTAGTATTGAATATTTAATTGGGGGTGGGGGGATAATGGGGTTGTTGCTTTCTTTCGATTTCCTTTTCTGGTACATGATTAGAATTTTTCTACTGTTTTATGACTTGATGTTCATGATGGTGTCCTTAAAATGTCTTTGTTATTCCAAAGTGATGCTCCAGTACGTGAATGTGGATATGTAATTGATTATTTGGATAATAAAATTTTGATTCAGCTAATGATTAATGCAAAGGGACTATAAATCTGAGTCCATTTGTTTATACCAATTTATTGAACAAGATATTTTTGCAAAGAATGTTGCTTTCTGTATTTATCATTGCATTGGGGTTTGATTATGCTAAGTGGCGTTCATATGGAACAAAGATCGAACAAGTTTTACATACTGTTACAAGGAAAATACATTGGGTTGTCTACTTTTGTTTAGAGAATATTAATTGTAAGTTAAGATCACCTTAGTAAAATATTCTACTCCCAAAATATTGTAGATTTCACATTAAGATTGAATTTAGATGAGATCAGGAAGTGTGAACTGCCTTTAGAGAAGTAATGCCCTGGTTCGTTGGAGCTCATGGAAGGACAGAAAACCAATCGGATAGTATGGAAGATGATCCCTGCTTGCATATTTTGGTGTGTCTGGACAAAAAGAAACAATAGATGCTTTCAAAGCACCTCTTCCCCAAGCTAAAGTCTTTAAGTCTAGATTTTTAACAACTCTTTGTAGCTCGAGCATTTGCCCCCAGTCAATTCCCCCGAAACTTTCATGGACTTTGTTTGCTCCTTAAATTTAGATTAGCCTTTAGTTATAGAGCTAACAATGTATTTAACTTTTTTATGATCTGTAATTTATGCATCTTCTTGATGCCTGCTATGAAATCTATTATCTTGTAAAAAAAACTACCTTTAGAGAAGTGCACAAAAATTTCAAGTTTCACTATATTGAATGTCTTTGAAATTTCCTTCTTTGAAAATGGAAGTCTCATTGATGGCTGAAAAGATAAAAAACATAAATATAATGTTTTATGTTAGCTTAATACAAACCGTGACAATCTATTTCATTGTATGTTCTTTTAGGCATATCGATTATTGCATGCACAGAGTGAATTTATTGCGCCATCATGGTGTCAAACCTATTCTTGTGTTTGATGGAGGTCCCTTACCAATGAAGATTGAACAGGAGAACAAGCGGGGAAGGTACATATAAACTCCTAACTTTAACTTCTTAGTTGTGAGTTCCTTTTGTTTTTGATTGGTCTTATTTATGAGTTCTTAATTTCTTTGATTAAGTAATAGGAGTTCTATTGACATATTGCATCTAGAGGATGCATGAAAATTACAAAAAAAAAAGAGAGAGATATCATTGCCTCTTTTATAAAACACAATTAACCAACATAGTCTAAAAACTGATTTATATCACAGAGATTTCCTGATAAAACAGGTTTACAGAGTTGGCAATTATGGTCGAGGCAAGTGATGAAACCTACTTTACATCTTATGTTTCTCTTCTCCATGTGGTCCCTAAATGCAGCTTGTGATAGATTTCCATATGCAGGTATACAATCATATCTACATATCTTACCTTCTGGCAACTTGATAAGGTCCATAACACTTGGAAGGTGAAGTGCTTTCTGGATATAGTCATTTGCCTGTATGGTTGAATTTTGAGATACATCTAACCTTCCAACTCGAACTTCCTATCCGATCTCTTTTTATTAGCCTTCCACCATCCTTTATTGTGATCTGGCTAAATGGAATTTCAATAGCTGTAGCTTGTCTTCTTCAGTTATTAATATCCTGTCTGTCTAAACTACTTCAGAATCACCTGCAACACATGGCAAGCCTAATGGTGGTGGTTGCCCATATAAAGCTTCATAATGAGTGGTCTGAGTTGAAGTATGGAAACTGGTATTATACCACCATTTTGCAAAGAACTAGTGTGCCACTCTGGAAGAGAGTCGCAGCAATAAACCTCAAATAAGTTGTTGAACACTTATTAATAACCTTAGTTTTGACTATCAGGCTGAGGATGGTTAGCAGTAGGGGTATACCGAATCATTCCTTGTATAGCAAACAATACCTGCCACAACTTACTTGTGAATACTGGATCCCTGTCACTTTACAATATCCTCTGGCATACCTTGGAGTTTAAATATGTGTTCCATGAATAGCTTGAAAACATAGACTACATGATAATGATGTGAAATGGCTATAAAATGGGCATATTAGTCAATTTGTCCACCCACCCAAGTGAGTTTTTCCCCGAGACGTTGGCAACACTTACGGAGTCCATACTGATACTAATCCAGGTAGCTGAAGGGCTCGGAAGAGGTTGAAGTAATCTAGGATAGGAAGCTGAATCATGTTTATTCTTTTGACACACATCACATTTCTTAAAATAAATTACCACCTTTTCCCTCATGCTTTTCCAATAAAAGAGACACAGTTTGTCTGTAGATGTGATCAACCCCAGAATCACATCCATCTACCATCGTCCCGCCAATGAAGTTCTTTCTTCTTTCCATGTTAAACAGCTCAGACTATCACTGATGTCGACTAGGTTGAAAGGTTTCCTTCTAGCGAGGAAATATATATTTTATCTCTCCACATCTCTTAGGTCTTATCTGCAAGTGGAATTGATTAATATTTCTGATTGCTGTATTTTTTTGCTTAAGTTACTCTGTCAAATGGATTAATCTTCAAGAGATAGTGATGTTGTCTAAGGGGAAAGCTGATTGCCGGAGTTCTGAGTTTGTTTAATGCAATTTTAGAAGTCATAGTGCTTGATACTTCCTCTGTGGAAAAAAAGTATTTGAGAATTTGATCTATGATTGTTATGTAGTCTAGAAATTGATCTATGGTTGTTATGTCGTCTCAAATTAATACATATTTTACTTAATTTTTAGTAAAAAGGAGGAAGATGTTTTTGCAAGCATGTTACTCAAGATATGATAGATGAAGCAATTCACAAATTTTCCTTCAGGTCTAGAAAGGAAAACCTTTCTCGTGCAATAGAGCATGAAAATAATGGAAACATGACTGCTGCTTATGAGTGCTATCAGAAGGCTGTTGATATATCACCTTCAGTGGCTCACGATCTAATACAGGTACCGAATTCATCATGATTTCACTTTTGCCATCAAGTCAGCCTTTTGTTTCTCATAATTTATATTTGCATTTGAAGGTCCTAAAGCGGGAAAATGTATGTTATGTAGTGGCTCCTTATGAAGCAGATGCCCAAATGACCTTTTTGGCCATCAGCAAACAGGTTGATGCTGTTATAACCGAGGACTCAGATTTAATAGCATTTGGTTGTCCTAGGGTAAGCTTTTGTCTGTTTTTTTGGCAAGTTTTGTTAAAAAAAGGTTTTCCTTTTATGCCGTTATATTGTTTTTGTACTTTGTTATAAAAGTCCTGGTAATTGTTTGTTGAATCCAGATCATTTACAAAATGGATAAGTTTGGGCAAGGTCTTGAGTTTCGGTACTCCAAGCTGGAACAAAATAAGGAACTGAGTTTAACAGGTTTCACAAAGCAGATGCTTCTTGAGATGTGCATCTTGAGTGGTTGTGACTATTTGCAGTCCTTGCCTGGAATGGGGCTCAAAAAAGCTCATGCACTTATAAAAAAGTTCAAGAGTTATGACAAAGTGAGTATTATCATTAGAACATTAGAAAAGTGAATTTTTTAGAAAAATTTGTATGTATTTTGCCAAAGTTTTCTTCCTCAATATGCTTCTCTTATCTATTGACCCGCATTTGGTACTGGACATTTACATGAGAATGATAATGGAAACTAATTTGTTTGCTTACAGGTCATTAAGCACTTGAGGTACAATACTGCTGCAGTTTCTCCTATGTATGAAGAATCTTTCAGAAAAGCAATTATGACCTTCCAGCATCAACGAGTTTATGATCTCATGACTGAAGATCTAGTTCATTTGTCCGAGCTCTCTGATCTTGGTAGTCAAGATCTAGATTTCCTAGGCCCATATCCTTACATATTTATTTATGATGCAACTTTGATGCTTGTTACGATCAATCTCCTTTATTATGGTCAGAGGTTTTTCTACGATCCATTCCTTAACCAGGAGAACGCTGATACCTACAGAAGTAGCTCAAGGAATAGCAAAAGGTGACATTGATCCTTTCACTATGATGCCATTTCAGGTATTTAATTTTAGTCCTCTTTTCGTTTATGAAGTTTCTTGATTTCAGTTCTCTTGAGTTAGAAGACCAATCACTTTTTGAGTGATATTCCCTACATTCCCTTCAAATCTACGTCATTATTTGCATTTATGCTCTAGCTTCAGCAGTATTATGTTCCCAATAAACTGAGGTTTGAAGGAAACTCGAGGCAGCCTATGGTTAACCATCTTGGTAAAACACTCCTTCTATCCGCCTCCATTGACCTATTGCATTTTTTTGCCCCTCTCAAAAAGCTGTCTTCTTCCTAAAACGACAATTCTTCTCCCATTAATCTTAATTAATACATGCATACTATGTATTAATTTAAAGTTGATGCGACAACTTTCGAACTCACATTTTTACTTTCATACCCTTCTCTACCAAACTCAATATAAGATCCCCGAATCCATCAAAAAATACTCTTGAAATCTTCTAAAGTCGATGCAGGTCAATCAAAATGGCACAGAGGGAGAGTACTTGAATATAGGGCCACATTCTGAGGGATATATGGACTTTATCTCTTGTTCTAGTGAAGATATGCATGCCGGCTTTAAAACTTAGTGGTTTTTTTCATGCACAACACCTACATATGTCGTGCTTCTTGTTGTGTCTTCCTCTTTTAGCATTATCAGTTCTTCATCCATTTCAATGCAAATGAAAATATTCTTTGCAACTTTATGCAAAATTTGATGAAGATAGTGTGCCGATCTGTAACCTCTGACAAATGTTTCTTTCCTTTTATTAACCTTAGATATACTTCATATCAAGTCTATATTTCTCTAAGTTATAGAATTACAATTCACCAGAAAGAATGCAACGCTGCTGAACTGGTGGATAGCAGAACTTATGAACTGAATGACTTCAAAGTGGAAGGTGAAAGGAGGAAGCTTGATTTGCCTGCACAGAAAAATCTCCTAACCAACTACTTCTGTATCCTATTGTACAAGTACTTAGCTTTACACTTCTTACTGTCATTTGGAGCTCAAGGCATCATTAACAATGATTCTCTCTTCATTTTTTGACATGTTTACGACAAACAACTCTTTAGTTATGTACCTTGCATATTTAGGAGGGAAGGCCTAAATGTATCTGAACATAGATCATTTCTCTTCTTCCTGTTTATTGCATAAATCTATATTTTGCAATTATCTCTCTTTTTTCTTTTCTCTGAATAGAGTTATGGACATTATATTAGGTTTGACGTTTGACTAGTCTTTTGGCTGGTTAAAGATGTATATCAGTGTAAAGATAAGTATGAGTCTTAAAAGACCTCTGATTTTGGTCAATCTTTTACCAATAATAGCATTGAATTGGCCTAATTAGGGCTGAATGAATATAGAGGGTTCATATAGTCATTTCCAATTAGTTTTTATTTTCATTGGAGCTTCTTTCACTTTTGCATTTCTCAAACCTGTTTTAAATGCTTTTATTGAGCTGAGGGTCTATTGCGAACAGCCTCTCTTTCTCACGGGGTAGGGGTTATGGTCTGCGTACACTCCACCCTTCTCGGACAACACTAGGTATGTTGTTGTTTGATTGTTTCCCAGCTATTGTGGAGAACTTACTTTGACACATTTCGAGAGTTGTGTAAAATCATTTTTTATGATGAGAGTTACGTTAATTTACACTGTGTAAAATCTTATTTTCTGATGAGAGTTATGTTAATCCCACCCAATTGATGTTCGAATGTAGTGCTAGATGTTAGGCCAAGTAGAGTGGAGCGGATGTAGGACTCATATAGCCAATGTCAGACTAGTCTGGGATTACTTTTTTGTACTGGCACAATAGTATTCTCTGATACTTTTTGGTAGGTTTGTGTGTTCCTTAACGTTTACTATAGGCACTGCTTCTCTTGAAGCAAAACAGAAATTTAGGGCCCCAAGAACTAGCCCTATCCTTCTGAATTCAGAGGTTGGAGTTTCAAGCGCTTGGGCAGACAGTAGAAAGGGAGCCGATTCGTATAAATTCGGGAGCTTGTCAATGTCCTCCCCCAATCCTCTGGTGAGCAAAGATGGTTTTGCAGTTAACACTGAGAATAACATTGTTGTATCATTTTGGAATTCTGATAGCATCTTTCTGAATAGTAGTTTCTTCTCCTTAGGTGGATGATGATATTCACTTGAAAGCTTCCATGTGTTTGGAGTCAAAAAGTCAAGGTAAAGACTAAGATACAAAATTTTATTGAAGGATCAATAAGTGCACTTAGACACTTCCTTTCCGTGTGTTCTTTGAGCAGGAATTCTGTTAGAGGAAGAAATTGAAAATGGCCTAGGACGACAATCTGTTCCACTACAGCATTCAATATGTAAACCCTGCATCACATTGCACAAGGAGCATGCTCTGGATTTAAGTGAGAACAAGATACGAGCAACAAAAAAAAAAGTGATAGTGAGGAGCAGCTATTTTTTGAAGAATAACAAGAAGGAAGATATTCAAGATGATAAGAGTAAGATAAATCTGGTTGCCAATGATAAATCTCATAGCAGCATTCGGGAGAATGATTATGATTCTATGTCTGATGCAATGGACGGAGCAGTCGTTGCAGCAGTCAAAATTGCCATTCCACAAAGTTCATTTTTTCAGTCCAATCCATCTGCCCAAAATGGTCAGTACATACGTATTTCTAAGCTTTTTATCAAGGATGATGTTTCCTCTGAGGCTCTGACAATAAACTCATTTTAGTTCCTGCAGGTGATGCTGAACAGAAAGAGAACAAAAGAGGAATAGTTAGGAGTTCTTATTTTCAGAAGAACTTGGCAAATGAAAGTTCTCAGGGCAACTTGGATGTTGCAGCTGAGATGGCTTCAGGAGATGACTGCTCTGAAAGGAGATTAAAGAAAAGGAAGGTTACCTTCATTGACACTGTTCAAACTGTAAGTTGTTTTTCCACGATGTGTTTTTCTTTTCATCTTTCATTTCTAATTGATAAGAAATTTGGTCAAATTTTCAGCTTGTTGCATCTAATTTCCTCTTCTTGTATAGGATAATGCAAGTGATGAATGTTTAGAGGCTGACACATCTGGCAGTCAAGGTATGTAGAAGGCCAAAACCAATATTTTGAACTCATCAATGATATGAAAATTATTTTACTCATCATTGTCTATCCACATTTGACACTCCTAATTTATGCTGAAATCTCTGGAACTGTGCACTTTCTTTTCACAGCAGCAAATGTTTCTGGGTATGCTTACCAGTATATTAATGTAAAACCAGAACTAAAAGATCAGCCAACAAGTTAGTGAGCACATTAATGAGGCAACGGCGTAGTTGGGAATTTAAACCTGCAACCTAAAGCAAAAAGCTTCTTTTATATATATATATATATATATATATATGAAGTTGTTTTTGCCCTTTTATATCCAATTGTGGCAACTAGGACAAGTATAATTGTTATATGCTAGATTGGAGATATTCTTGAGACAGTGCTGCTTTTTCCACGACTCGACTCTTCAAGCTTAGCTTCTCAAGTGACTGTAGTGCTGCTCCTTTCGATTATATAACACTTGATAGTTTCTTACTTTTTTTTTCCTGTACCATTTCTTACAAAGAAAAGGCTGTCATACAATTATCGAGAATCTCCTTCATCCTTAAGCTTTTGTTGGTTATCTTTTATAGAATCCTTTTACAGGAGAGACATCAAAACATCTTTCTATTTCAGGCGACTTCAACTCCAACCTAGATGATTCAACTAAGGAGACAAAGGATGGACAAAGGAAATTCGGTTCCAACATCTCTCATTTAGGACATTATTCTCAAATATCAGAGAAATCAATGGACAATTTTGTTTCGGTCATATCTTCATTTAGATACACCTCAAATGGTTCTCGAGCCAGTGGGCTCCGAGCCCCTCTAAAAGATATTAAGAATACCAGCACTAATAGGTAATACTATTTTGAACATCTACTTTTTGTTTAGTTCTGTTTTTGACTGTCACCTCTAAATTTACCCTTTGACTGAAGGTCCGCTAGTAACATGGATCTAAGCAAGTTTGTGTACAAGCCAACAAAGCAAAAGCAATTATCAGCACGTCATAAGGTCTAAACCTTGCAACTACACTGCCTGCATTTGTATAAACTGGATTCGGCAATTGTCAACTTGATATCTATGAGTTAGAATCAACTAACAGCTCCTGCTAAATTTCCATTTTGTTAGGTGAGTAGCCATTTTTTTTGGCCAAATTCACAGTTTCCCTTTTCTTTTCCTCTAGGTAACTAAAACTGTTTCAATTCTCTGATGCAGGATCCGCTCTGATAGGGATATCTTTTCGTTTCATCGGCAGCCTGAAATTTGAAGGTTTACTTCACTTTGGTTTTCTATTTTTATTACTCATTTCTTATGATTCTTCTCCACCTTATGTTTTTAGTCTTCTCAATTCCCATATTTGAGATGCGTTTACGGAATATTGAAGTTTCTCAAAGATCAATAAGCAGTTTTATATGTACATTGTGAATGGAATTGTTATCTGATATGATTGTGTATATCTACTTTTCTGATAGTGAGGTGAAGAAATCAAGTGTAAGTTCAGGGGAGAGTAACTTATTTAGCAAAAGCTGAAAAAAACTTTTCTGGAAAATGTTTCACAAGAATCAACAAAAGAAGTTTCTTTTTAAACTAAAAAACTAACTTTGCATGTTTAAGTTTTTACAACACTGGAACTGGTAATACCATTCAGAAATCGTTAGCTGGACGAATATATAACTTTGTGAGGTTTCTAAAATATATAACTATTTGATTAAGACTTAATTACGTAGGAAACAATTATTATGCATTTCTATGAACACATTTGTCTAAGTAAGAAATCCTGGCAAAAAGATTTCAAATTTTGCCATTTTTGTTGGAGTAATTCACGGTGTTTTAAAAAAAAAATATCTTACTACCAAATTGACATATTTCTTAAAATTACAATTACAAAAATAAAAATAAATATCCTGAAGTTACCCCAACCGTTCATATGTATTTATAGAGAAAAAAAAATCAAGTAGGGAGAGTTTCTTTTGTATGGCTCCATAAATATCACAGTCCCCTTAATCTATATTTAAAGTTTTACCCCTAAGTACGAAAGTGGTAATTAATTACTTTTAAAAAAAAATTAGAGGGAGTAATAGGACCTCATAAAAAATAAGTCAGGGATTTTTGGTATAGGCTAGGGGTAATTGAGTATTATCTCTATTTTGTATAAATATACTAATTTTAGAAAGTAAAATATTTAAGAAGGAAAAACTAATATATTCAAATATAATTTCAAAAGTGAAAAGTAAGTTAGAAAAAAAGTTTTCAAATATATTTGTTTGATATTTTGTAATTACTTTGATTAAAAAATCTTTAATTATGGACATCTTAATAATTCACATAAAATTTACGTAAACAAAAATATGATCTACTAGAGTACTATACAAATATATTACGTTTAATTTATTTTAGAGTGAATTTAAAATCATTTAATTAGTACAATTTATAATTTATCAATATTAATTCTATTTATCAAATATTTGTTTTACACTTAATAAGATGATTTAATATATTTTAATTAGTAACACTAAAAAGTAAATTTGTGAACAAATATTGAGTCTGTGCACAACAACTCGCAATCTTCGTAACTAGTTCTTAGTATAAACACCAAAATTTCTATCATCTATCAGGTACTGTTTGGTCCATGCTAGAACAAGATAATGGGATAATTCTTTAGCGATAATAATATAAATAATTTTTATCCTATATATAATGACAATAATATAATATGAGAAATGCTAACGGAAATATTTATTGCTATTAAATATCTCTTTTATTATTTTAGTGTCATTTCACCTGTGATTGGTGCTTTTGAAAATGAAATTCAAAAGCTAAATTTACACAATGTCAAAATACAAATTCTATTGATTGCCATTATTTCTTAATTTAGTTCATGGACGTGACTTTGATTATGAGTGTGTTTCGTATTCAAAATAAGGAAAATGATTTCCCTTCAAAAATTAAGGAAAACAGTTTTTAAAAAACTCTCCTCCAATTTTAAATTAATTTTTTTTTGTTGAAAAAACATTAAATTTTTAAAAAATATTTTCAATTTCAAAATTTTATGTTTCATTCTATCCCTGACCGCCTAACCCACCCACCCACCACGGGCCAGCCCCCAACTCCACCCCCTCCCCAAAAAATTAATTTTGTTTTTCAAAATATTTTCAACTTCAAATTTTTATTTTTAAACTCCTATCCCCCTTTCCCTGGCCAGCCCCCCACCCACCCCCAACCCCCTTAAAAATTAATTTTATTTTTTAAAAATACTATCAACTTCAAAAATTTATTTTTTCACTCCTATCCCCTCCCCCTGCCCCCATCTACTACCCCCACCCCACTCCCACCCCCACCACCCAAAAAAAATATTTTATTTTCAATTTCATAAATTATTTTTTACTCTAGTAAAAATAAAAGATGTCTCTCAAAAATATTTTTCATTCATAAATTAAACATTAAATCATTTCCGAAAAATTATTTTCTAGTTACCAATCAAACATGAAAAAAAAAGTCCAAAATCTACTTATTTTCCAGAAAAACATTTTCCTCCGTACCAATCACACTCTATGTCTGTTATTTTCAGTTAGTCATTCTCATATTCCTAACCTAAAGTGAATCGTATTACTTCCTCTTATAAACTCCCAATTCTATGAAATATATTTAGCCCTTAACTATACGCTATTCTCTATTTTCTTTCCTTCGATTACTATTTCACGTCACTATATTGTAAATTAAATCAGCAAATTCCACAATAAAATTTTATAATTATTTCAAGACTATTATATTTCGCTTTCCAATAACAAAGAGCTAATAGATTCAGTTTTGAGAGCATTAGGTAAGTATCCACATGCAAGAAGTTAACATGTACATAGCACAATGTGCATTTTGCTTTCTAACAAATAACGATCACTCAATATTTGTTAAGTCTAAATTTCTTGCTGATGAATATTTATTCTTTTAAGAAAAAATATTCTATGAAAATGTATTGCACTGTATATATTATTTTAAAAGGAAAATGTGGACACTTATCATACTTTATTTTATTAAAATGACAATGATCCTTTTTTTTTGGGGTAATAGAAACGGACCTCTTAATATTAAATACTCTAATTTGGTAGGTCTATATATTTATTCAAGTAGATTCATAATAAAGCACTACACATGAAAAGAAAAACATGAAAACGACTAAGAAAAAAAATTCAATTTCAAATTGTTCCCTATATAGTCCTTGATATGTCATAATATGGTTGTCATTCTTAATTAATATGTTGTAAAAATAAGGAAATTTCAGATTGTTTGTTGACATGTCATTTTGCAGAGAAGTTTAAAAGTATTGATTATAAAATATGTTTGGACAATATTCGTGGAAGAAACTTTATTAGATCATCGCATATAAGAAAGAACAAAAAAGTTCTGATGTAACAAATAAAATATCTTCATCATTAATTAAAATTAAATTCAAATTTTGAATATCAAAAAATAAAAAATTATTATTATTTATTTTCTTAATAAATTATACACAACACAAATTTTTATTAATCGAAGCTACATATATCGAGCACTAATAGCGCACTAATAGGAAACGAAAATAAATTTTAACCTAGGAACCTCGCACTTAAGTATTAATTGTTATACCATGATGATATTTATACCACTAATGTGTAATATACGTCCTATAGATTTTATTTGGGACAAATTTTAATAACAAATCTTTAACTGAAATCTTTTTTACTTTTAGAAGTATATAATGAAATGTCAATAGTATCCAAACAAAAAAGTAGTGCATGCAACAACATATCATATTCACATGATTTATGTGCTAAATTTTACATTGATCACACCTAATACACTTAAATTATAATTATTAATGTCAAAACACTCACGAAATTAAGCATCTTAATTTTAAACAATCAAATTAAGCATATAAATCTTTTTTTTTGAATTCTTGTTTAAGAAGAAATTAAAATTATAATGATTCTTATATTACAATTGGTGCTTCAAATTAAAATCTTAATATTATGAATCCAAGAATTAAAAGAAACTCACCGCTCATAATTGATTAGACTTTCTGAAAGAGACCAAAGTTTTGTCACCACTTATGAAGAACTGTTTGTGCGGGGTTTTATATGATGTTCAAACATAAGTGAGAAAAATTAAAGGTAACATATATTACCTCATTGGCATAGGTAATGTCAAATTATATTTGCTCCGTCTTTAATTATCTGTCCACTTTTGAATTGACACATCAATTAAGAACACATTTATATACATAGTGAGTGTCATTTTACCCTTATTAATCATGAAATGAATGAATTAAAAACTTAATATTTTCAAGAAGTTCTATACGAAGTAATTAATTGAGAATATAATAGGTATTCTTTCGTGATTTGTCAGAATGAGAAAGTATTAAAAACAACTAAAAAAGAAAAAATAACAAATAATTAGAAACAGAAGGAATAACATTCTAACAACTTGAAGGAAACATGTATAATTTTTTCAAGAATCATCATCAAAATTTTCTAACTTTCTATTACATGAGTAATGGAAAAATTGAATTGGTAATCCATCAATGTTACATTTACTAATTAAGAAAAAAAAGTAAATAAATCTTTTCTCTTTTCTATTAACTTTTTTTCATACTATTTCTTAAAAAACGAGAAACTAAACTCTAAATTCATGGTTCAATAAAACCAGTCATCCTTAGAATTAAATCTCTTGCTTGAATCAAATTCCTTCTTTTGAGCGTCCCTCCGTAGCCGATGCAAATTGAAAATGCCATCATTCTTCTAATAACTCTCCGTTTAATTATCACATCGGGTGGTACCATTTCATCATCGTCATACTCATCTTCGAAAAAGTTGTCCATGAAGAATGAAGCTTTGTTCATGGGTGTGGACTCAACATCTTGCTTCATAATTATTTTTCGTATCATGGATACGTTGTTGTTATAACGCCGAACTTGAAACCCAAATTCAGCTTCTTCCTCGTCAGCAGAATTTTGAAGCTCCATTTCATGCTCTTGAGGAAAAAGAATTTCGCTTTCTTGAAATTCTTCAGCCATGAAAAATGAAGTATATATGAGAAGAAAATGATATGTTTTTTTGAAACAAAAATAGTTGAAGTGAGAATTTAATAAGAGAAGGGTATATATATAGGCATGCTAAAAAGCTCCAGTGTGGGTCCCACAATATTCTCTCCCAAAAATATTTCTCTCACTAAGGACTTGTTTGGTCATGCGATATGGAATCATAGTATAAAATCATGATATGATAGGATGAAATGAAACTATTTATAGTTTTTACAGTTTATAGATTCTTATGTTTATGAAAAAATATACGGCACAAAATTTTTATATTGTATGTTCAAACACAACTTTAGCTTCATTTCATGATTTCATAATATGATATCATATCATAATTTCATACCATAATTTCATATTGCATGACCAAACGATCCTTAGCGAGAGAAA